TAATAACCTGTACGCCGCGACCGCGTGTACTATTCAAAATATGTAGACAAACGGATTAACAATTGTATAATGACGTTAATTAATACTATGGCAGTATCATTAACAGTTAATGTATTGACTAATATGATATACGCTGGATTGTTTCCTTATACAAAAGACCTTTCTGTTAACTTTGGGGTCTGACAAGTAATAGTTTTCCTGCTTAAGCTATTATCACGCACCTGGAGATTACTTCACTTACCTTACTGTACTTCCCGAAAGCTCTTTCAAAAACTTTCTTCTCATCAAATTTAAACCTGTTAATTCTATTTTAAAGATAGGACAAATGCATTTTAAAAAAATCCTACATTTTTAATACACGCTAGCGAATGGGTTGGACGTTTTACAAATGTACTTACTGTACTTAAATAAGTCATTTATAAAACGTCTTAGCAGCTTTATTCTTCTAATTTGTAGATTATTTAACTTTCTATAGTTTAATAAACTTGTTTGACTTGATAAAATTAAGTAATATAACCTGTAACAGACAAGATTTTCCTACTTTTTTTCTTTAGCAGATGTTTTTCCTGGAAGGTTTAAGTACTTTTGTACATGATTTAGGAAGCTTCTTACGGTTAAAATTTAAAATAAACTTGAAATTTCTTCTATCTCTTCGTTTATATACCTTACCTTAATAAGGATTTTTACCTTTAGAACTTGATTGCCTCTTATTTTTTGCCTTATTTTTACACGCGCAATTTGCCTTATTACAGTTAATACAAGTTTATTTACCTTATTATAGTTAATTTTGTGTTGTTAATCATTAAAGTAACTTTTCCACAAAACAATTAAATAATATAATATAATATAAATATTATTTAATTGAAACCATTTAAGTAATGCAAAAATTCTAATGGGTAATTTCAAAATGAAGAAAATAAATTACATAAATAAATAAATAAATAAAACCCGAACGAATTTAACTTTAAAGTTAAGATGAAATCAAAGCTGTTGAAAATCTGTAATCTCCACTTTTTTAACTTTTTTCCTACTTTCATTACGCTTCCAAGTAGCTACTGCCCTATTCTCCCGGGACCCCTCTTCCGTTATTTGATCGACAGTTCCCCGATTCCCATACATGGGGAATGGAAATCCCTTACAGTTGCGGTAATTAAAAAAAAAAGAAAGAAAAGAAAAGAAAGAAAAAAAAAAAACTGCCAACGTAATACAGTAGCTGCGCCTCTCAATAGCTTTAAGGTTAGAACCAATATGGCAGATGGTAAAGTAATTACAATACACAAATGATAAAGTTTAATTAATGGCTATTTTCCTGTCTTATTGAAGTAAATCATTTAGTGAAGTCCAATGAAACAATTGTAATATAATTGGCATTATTAATTATATACAAAAGATGTCAGAAACTCTAAACTTTTAATTTAAATAAAACTAAATACAATCGATTTAAATGGAAAATATTATTAATTCGGCGCCATTATGTCCTCACGAATTAACTTAAATACGTGAAAAAAATCGGTAGAATTATGTAAAAACTTATTCTTATTTTAAATTATGGGTAATTTTATACACAGATTTGTATTTTTATGAAATAGAAGCGATATTTATAGCATTATATTAAAAAAAATTCATGTTTTAATTAATATTTGAAGTTTAATTATTCAAAATTACAAACAGTAATAATTATTTTTTATATTTTTTAATATCAAGTATTTATTTTTAATATAAAAATCACGTCGTATAATAGGTTAGAACGACGTCATAAAATTCGTAACACCAGTAAACTTTCACTTGCAACAAAAAAAGAAACGTGGCGGCCGATCGTGAATGTGAAAGCGCCATCTACAATATTTCTCACAAACTTATTATTATTGGAGGAAAAAAAATTAATAATAATTAAAAAATAAAATAAATATTATTAAAATTTTATGTATTTTTAAGCTAGATTTAATCTCGTATGTAAAATCGTATAGGAGTTATCGTTTATACGTACGATTTTACGTACAAGTATACGTGTTACACGTAAGCCTAAAGCCGGCTTTATTAAATTAATTTTATAAAGTTAAAATATATATATATATTTGTTTGGAATTTTTAAAAATAATATAATTTCATATTAAGTAATTTGCTATATTAATTTATATTATAAATAATAAATAAGAAATAAATGAATTTATGCAAAAAAAAATTAATAATAATAATAATAATAATTAACATATAAATTTATTCGACGAGATTACATTTCGTGCGCCATCTGTTAAACGAATCGAGAACTAATAATATAAATTTTCCATTTTGTTGTATTCAATTTCTGTAAATGTGATTTTCGAAATTTTTGTGTTTCTGAAAAACAATTTATATTTATAAAAAATAAAATAAAATAAAATAGCACTAACATATCAAATAATTTATTGTTGCTTTTTTTTCTTTTGCTATCTTAAAAACAAAATGGATGCCACAACAAAAGGATACGGGAATCGCTGAGATTTGGCAAATTAGCGTAAATAATGCTGATTAGAAATAATAAAAAAGCAAAATAATGTTAAAATCAAAAATATATTATTCTTTGAATTTTAAAAAATATATATATTTTTAAAATATATTAAAATTTTGTTGAAAGTAGCTATGGTTAACGCGTCGGAGTTAAAAGCAAAAGAGCCGCTCTTATATAAATAATTGATTAAAGAAGAAAATTTACTATTTTACTTTTACAAGATATACCATTTTAGATAAAAACATTCTTTATTTTTTCTTTTTCATACTCTTTGTTCATAAATAAGTAAAACTAAGTAATTCTATAGAATGGATGTCGCGACGAGGAAGCGATAAATGTTTTAAACAAATATATTATGATAACACTAACGATATCTTTTCATTTATTTATTAAGTTAATAAATTAATTACTTTTAAATAAAATATTAAGAATTATCAAATACACTATGTTTATTTATTTCATGAGTGAAAGAGGTAAGCAATTAAATTACTTTAAGCCTAGTATATAAGCGTTAATACAATGCTCCTATTTAATTTCTTATTTTTCAATTTAAAATGATTATAAAAAATTAAATCATAATATATGTTTATAAATTATATAAAAATGATCTGATAGCCGAAGCGGTTAAGACATTGCTTATCGCTCAGGGGGATCCGGGATCATCTCTAATATATCAGTCGTCGTCTCTCACTACCCGAATCGCCTCTATTGGGGGCTTTGCCAAATCTATTATAAATTAAAGAGGCCTACTTTAAGGCCTCAGAGAGAAAAGAGTAAAAATGAGAAAAAAAATTGTATAAAAATAATTTTTTTTAAATTTCAGTTAAGCGATATTTCTCTGCATGGTTTAATCACACGCTATAAGTTGTGTTTAATTTATGATTTATGTCTAAATATATCATTTATATCATCAAATCCTCATAAATGCCAAGAGAAATAATCACAGATGTTATCATAAGTCTATACTATATTAATGATTTTTCAATATAAATCAAAGTATCCGATAATTATAAAAATATTTTATATTAAAAAACAAATTAGATACAATTTTTTTATAAATTAATTACTATTCAATTATAAATTCGGAATAATAAATTTCACATTGTAAATTAGTTTTCTTATTATTATAACAATTAAAATGTAAACTTTTTTTAAAATACGGTACTATAAAAATATTATATTATTAAATTTTACCTAAAAATTACGTTAAATAAATATATATATAGTATTAAAAATGATTATTTCTGGAAAGAAAATATCGAATTAATTATATATAATATTTTTTTTTTTTTTCGAGATGGCGCTTCGTTCGCTGAAATTTGCAAATGGCGGATTTTGACATTTGTGTGGGGTAATGGTTAAAGTAGTTGATTTTAATGATTTTTTAAACTGTTAACTGGACTTTTTTCATCATAAATGAGATTTTTCGTAACGGTATCATAATGCCAATTGATTTAAACAAGTTGACAGAAGGATGGCTAGAATTAGAAAGCGATCCAGGTAAATAACCGTCATCGAGTCGAAAACATCAAATTTTCCTCCTTGAATTTAAGTCGAAAAAATAGATAAAAAAATAAATAATTAGAGATTTATACGTTAAATATAAATACATTATCATCTCTTAATATTATATCATTTACTTTTGAAACTTGACAATAAATTCAACATAATATTTCTTCATATAACTGAAAATATCTTTAATAAATGCCAATTTGATAACCATGTGAATTGTTTTAATGAATAAAATTACACCAAAATGTTTTATTATTATTATTTGTATAATGAAAAAGTGATTATACTGAGCTGTTTTCTATCATTTACTGAGTAGATACAAGAAGCACATATTTATGATGATTTATTGATGTAAAACTTTGTATATGTTGTTTGAGGTCTTCCCGATAAGTAGTCTTTTTTTTTCAAACATATACTCTTTCGAAGTGCTTTTTAGTATCGGTGGCTCGGGCAAATTTGAATTAAAAGGCCCCTTATGGTGTCAACTTCGAACATTTTTCTTCTGGGAAAGTCCCCGATAAACTTGTTTGTTTTTAACGTGACTTTTGAAAGAGTTGTGCACTGCGCCACACTGGCAAGCTACGGTCCCCAGATATGATCCGAATTTAAATTTACATATTCTTACTGCAATAATGAGTTTATAAAAGATTGGTTTTTTGCCCGTAGGATTATGCGCCACTGTCGTATCTATTTTGTACCCACTTAGTATCTGTTATATTTAATTCTGATTCAAAATTAATAATAACTTTTTTAACTAGAGTGTATAGCTGTGAGAATTGCTCATTAAGAACATCCATATAATGTACAAACTAAATTTTCTTTGAGTCTTGCCACTTGTTGATAAAATAAATACATAAAATAGCTTAATATGTTTTAAATTATTTAACTTGATATTTAAATCAGCTGAAAGATGCTTATAATCGTAATAATATTCAGATACTAGCAAACAGTATAAAATAAAATGAATTTATATACGTTAAAAATAGTTTTAAATCATGTTTTCAGTTGTCATATGGGATCTTGTATCTGCAGGCTTTGTCATATTACAGTATATAGTTTTAAGTATGTTTCATATGTTTTTCAAGTCCAAACATATTTGTCATGTTTTGTATTCCAAATATGTTTATAATATACAATCTATATTAGTGTTTCCCTATATTCTAATATTTAATCTATGTTATATGTCCTGGAATTTTGCACGTTATATAAACATTTTATATCAGGTATGTAACCTGTATTGTTTAATTAAGCTGTTATATATAAGCGCGGACTTTTCTATATACTGTGGATATTTTATATATCGCAAATTATTATTCCCATTTTTTATATGCTGTTTTCCACGTGTTACGTATCTAAATTTATTATTTTTTCTCGGGATCAATAATTGAACGTACAGAAATACACACTGCAAGGTCATTTTTGTTTTAAAAGTGAAATGATCCGAAAATGTGTTAAATTATTTTATCATTATCTAGAAAGCGAGGGTTTTTTTAAAAAAATGTATATTCTCACAGACAGACCATAACCAATTCAATAGCATTTAAATACTAATTTAAATTTTATGACACACTTCCATTTAAAAAAAATAACGCCCTTATTGATAAATGAACCTGTTTAATTCACGAAAATGACGCCATCGGTATTTACTAATTGTAAAAATAAAAAAATAAATAAAAAACGTTTGGAAAAATTCCCAAAACTTTAGCAAATAAACTAACGAAAAGGAAATTATTCAAAGAAAAAAGTATTGCAACACGCAAAAATTTGATGTGCCACGTTATTGAAATAAATTATAGAAAAGGTGAGCTATATGGAAATCCTAGACACATCCTACATAACCTGTTTACGTAAAGAAATGTAAATAAAGACGATTTCTTATATATATATACTTTTTAACTTAAATTTAGGATTTCGTATATTTTCATACATATCTTTATATAGGGCGATGCTATATGAAGATAATTAAAAATAATAACTAGGTCTAAAGCTTCTAAATTCGGCAAGAACGAATAAATAAATTAAATATATTTAAGCGCATTTCAATTAAAAATAAATTCACTCAAATCGTCACTTCACAATCTCTTCTACTTTAATACATGTATTTAATTTAAATTTTATGCTTCGCTAACGAGTATAAAATACATAAAACTATAGAGAACGATTCGAATGTTCGAGTTTGCGCCTTAACCTTAACTTCTGAACCGGTCTGGACCGCTTTACGGCGAAGCCGATACCAACAAGAATTAAAAAAACAAATAAAAAAAAAAAGTCTAATTTAAAGTGAAATTTTCTTTTTGTCCCCTCGCTGTTTTTTTTAGAATTAAATACGAAAAAAAATTAATCTCTTACCTGCCCACGATACTCCAGTTTCTTGAAATTCAGGTAGAGCCCACGGATCAGTATCCGCATCAGATGATGGTGTGTAGGGTCGAGATGGATCTAATTTATTTGGCAATTGAGTTGGAATATATAATTCTCCGACTTTCTTCTCTTTACCGGCATCCGGTTGCAGGTTGACATTGGTCTTTTCGTTCTTCACCGGCACCTGTCAATTCCAAAAAAAAAGATTTATGTTAATCTGCGTATCCGATAAACGATCCGCGTGTTCGTATTGCTACGTCAGTTTCTCACCTCTCCATTTTCTTTGTGCATCTTGTCACCTTTTATACAACTTCCCTGCGTTACACTTTAACTTATAACCTCTCCTAACCGGATGTATAGACGCTGTTATTTCTTTTATCCAAATACTTGTGCGACATTACTAAATAACAGACAAATCTCCGACTTATACTGTCTGTGACGTCACCGGAACAGGATCATCAATAACCCTCTTTCTATGTATGAAACAAAATAGAAATTAAAAGCTTACCGTAATTTCCGTAGACTTTACTAAAATTGTTTATTGCAACGTACGTTTAACCGACATAAATTCGGGTTGTTAACCTTTTACAGTGTCAAAATTACCTAGCAATTTCAGAACTATATGTCGTGCGGAAGAACTTCCCCGCAATGTAGCTACTATCGAACGTCATAGGATTATGAAGAGGTCAACGGCGGCAATTGGTCATTACGAGTGACGTCAACTGTCTATCAAATGTTTGAATCGGTTTTTTCAAAATTGGTTGGTCGCTGCTTGATGACGTTTAATATTGCGCTTTTATCAAATGTGACGTAATAAAACGGGTTAAGCAGAAAAATATGTGAAAGGTGCGGTGATTAAAATACAATTATTGAATTAACTCTTTAAAAAAACAAATTTAAGTTTTTAATCTAAAAGTTTTTTTAAAAAACTTGTATATTTATTAATTAATGTATATAAAACTTTTATTTTATATACTTTATCACATAAATTGGGTAAATGCCAGTACCTTTAACTAAATATAAAAATAATCTTCACCTTCCAAAAATAACTAAAATCTTATTATTAAAAATATTTAAAGATATTTATTTTAATAAATAAAATGTATACTTTTTAAACATCCTGTTCTACCGGTTATTGTATGTGAACAGAAAATGGCATGAACTTTAATTCTGAGAATAAGGAAAGAGTAGAATTGCCAATTTATAAAAATCTTCAAATATTACAATAATCCTCTACTTTTTCATTATATTTTACATTATTTGATCATTTTAAAGCTGAATTTTATAGAAATTTCAGCGAAAAGTATTCGCATCAAGGACAATTTGGACATAAAAATCAATACCTGAGCTAAACAATAGAACATTAAAATGGTTGTTGACTTTATAGCGAATGTAGGAGGGTGAATAGCTTTTCTTTTTTTATTTATTTGTTTCTTTTGTTTTTTTAAAGCTTCGTCTACAATCACAAACTTGCACTTTGCCCGTCTAACTTCTAAGTAAGTTAATACTCTTTTATTAACTCCTTCGATAGAATTTTACGCAAATGAATGTTTTTAGAATAATTATTGGATAAAGTGTCGTAACTACTAATGTATATCTTTTGCTTTATTAAGATAAAACAACATATTTAGATAAATTAGACCCATGTAAAGCTTTATCTTTTCTAGTAGTTTCGACAAATTATTACTACAATAGTCATTAAAATATGATTACATTCGAAAGTGCAATAAATTTTTTTTACGTAGAAGGAAAGTCCTAATAGTGAATATCCTGTACAACCAACCAACTCAACAAACTTTTCTGCGAGTTCCAATCGTATTCTGTTTATTTACATGCATTTATTGTCCTCTTTAACGCATATCCTGCTGGAAATTGTCCTAATTATCGAAGTCAACGAAGTCTGGGAAAAGAATTACGCGATTTTTTAAGCTTATTTCACATTTTGGTGACACTTTGTATCCCTATTCTCGATTCAATCACACGGATGAATGGATAGACGAAATAAGGCAACTGAATACATGGGTGATCTGCCAATACCCCCCTCGAAAGGATTTTCTATGGAAAACCGATCCTTATTTAGGTGTACAAGTAAAATAACCTGGAAAACTTCACCAGGTGCGAACCCGTGACTAGTAATCAGTGAGCCATTCCGTCACTTGAGACAAATGCCATCAGAGGTTAAATAATGTTATCAAGTGAGCGATTTCTGCTTATACTGCACGTCCTCCATTTTGGCATTTGCATTTTCCTCTTTTCGGAACCATACAGACAATGATATTCCTTGAAATGGAACCATTAGCATTTAAATTACTTAAAAAAACAAACAAGTATAATCGAAATTTTGGCAAGAAATTTTTACAGCATTTTGTAACTATTAATATATGTATTAATATACAGTATGTACAGAATTTGTCATACGTCATTTATTATAAATAAAGAACATTTTAATTAACAAACTATTGAGAATTTGGTCCTCTAAAATTTACTAATTAGGACTTTTCCTGTATTATAAAATCAAGAAAAAGTTTCGTTTAATTAACTAATTTTATTTTGAATAAGCTTTCTACAAAATTTAGGTCATTGAAACCATACACCTGTATCCATAAACATGGTATGTGAGCTTAGCAATGAGTGTGTATTATTTTTGTTTATGCGGTGTTTTTGGATGTTGTAAAATCTAAAACTTTGAAGTCATTTTATTCCCTTTCTTCCATATAAATAATGTGTTTCAGAAATGATTTTTTTATGTCCAAATTTACATAATAATAATAATTGTAAAGCAAGTTTTTTTTAGACTGAAATGAAGGTGAATGACATCAAAAAAAATAAACGGTAAGATAAAGAAAGGCATAAAAAATAGCTGTAACTGTAAAATAATAATATAAAATAGCAAAAGAAATTTAATAAATCTTCTAGCTATTAAATCCATGTTTTTTTTTATTTAAAAGTATTATTTTTATCTGTAATAAATATATTTTTGCTTCATACTTCTATGAATTGCGTTATCGATTGACAGATATAATAATGAAAGTACTAATGTCATTTCAATGAAGAAAGAGATATGTCTGTCTGTAGATAAAAAATAAAATTAATATTTATAAATTTATATGCAAAATTTTAACTAAAGTTCATTTTATTTAAATTTCCTAATGAATATATTAAGCACATTTAAAAATATATTAATTATTTGATTGACATCAAAATATTTCAATATCGTTTAATATTATTTATTTTTATAGCAGCTATAAGTAAATTTTAAAATTTGTGTCTATAAATAAATTTATTTCGTGATACTGAAATTGAATAGCAGTAATTCATTTATTTTTAAATTTAGTTTATGTATAATTCTCGAATATTTGATAGAAAAATGTGTATATATATCAGTATATATTACTGATATATACTGTATATTTGTTTATTGCTATTTACTCATACATATATCTATGGATACAAAGCTTGATACAAAAATATGCCTATTCATAATAATTTTATATACAGTATTATAAATATTAATTTGGCATACGTTATTCTAATTTAGCATGCATTTAATATAGATGTCTTTGTTCAATACATCAGTACTAAATGGATATTTTATTCATATCCGTTTAGAATTATTGTATAGATGTACTTAGCATGTACATACTTTGTTACGCCTTACATAATTTGAAACAAAATTTTAAAATAAACATAAATTCCACACTTTTATATATTTTTAATTACAAGTAAACTCAATTATTTCCTTCGTAAACAGGATGAATGACAATGTTAATTTGGAAAATTTAATTAAGAAATATGAAATACAATTATTTTATATACTGTACTTCTATACCTGTTATATCATCCAAACTGACAACACTTTATTGATTTACAATCCAAACTCCGCCCAAGATTATTTCTTTATAATTTCAGTTTATTCATCAGATTTATTATACCGAGTTGCATCACACCCCTTCATAATTTTTAGTATTATTTGAAAGTTAATTTTGGAAATTCCGTATAGATTATATGTAAATTGATAGCTATAATTGTAAGAAAAATATATTACGAAGTAAAATAAATGCGTCATTTTTATGTTTTCGTAGTAGTAATTCATAAAATCCCACTGTTTCACTCACCTCTAAATTGCTAATTAATGCAAATTCATCATCATCTTTCAGTTAAAACTTAATCAATTCGTGAAGATTAATTTGTAGGACTTCTATTTATTTACTTTACTCCAATTTAAATTCGTAAAACAAATGCTTATATTTATTTATTGAATTTTTCTTGTTATATAAATTAAAACTCACATAAATTAATGTTTCACTGGTGACTCGTGAAATGTGCAAAGTAAATAAATAAATAAATAAATAAATTTATATATTCGTTTTATTGCGAACAGAATTTTCGACGTAAAAAATCGATTTTATAAACAATAAACATAATTTTAAATATTTAAAAAAATTCATTTTAATTCTATAAATAACAAATCTATATTATTAATGTTTTTAAATATAACCTTGGCAATAAGGCATATAAAATTAAGTAAAAAAAATATTATTTTATTGATATTATACAATCAAATTTTAAATCTTATAAAGTATTTATTTTCATAAATATTTTAAATTTGAATATTCTAATAATACATTAATCGGATAAATAATAGCATTCAGATGTGATGCTAAGCCGTTGACTCATACAAATTCAGAAAACAAAGAATATAAGAAAAAGAATTTAACAGGATATAGAAAAATAAAACAAAGTAATCTGTAAAAATAAAAAGATAATTTTTGTTGTGTCCAATTAATGAAAGAGTAAAAATGTTTTCTTATATTATGTAGGTCTATTGGATAAATACACGTATAGCTTACCTGTGTAAACTTATAAGTTATTTTCAGCATACAGATGCACAAGTAGTACCACAAAGGATGATAAACCTTTGGTATTCTATTAATGGTACCAGCTTCAAAAATAGAACAACAAGATTTTAGCTTCTTCAAGATGATTATACATTTTTTGCAAATCAATTATAAGACAATCATTACTTTTAATGATATGCAACTTCAAAAAAATTTTTTTTTCTGTAAAGTTAAATATTAGGCTACCGAAGCTACCTTCAATTCAAAACTTGTTAAAAACTATTTTATTCTTGATTATAGACATTAAGCCTATTTATTTTTATTTTGAGAGTTGCAGCCCACTGTTAATCTGTGAACTTTGCTAGTGGCTAACATTAGTTGAGTTTTATCACCGTTTTCTCTATATATTGCTTTCTATAAATGATTCCAAAGCTCCGAGAGTTTTAAAATTTAGAGCTGGCTAATGTAAAAGAACAAAAATAGTTTTTAAAGCAGCATTACAACATATAAAATAGCCTAATTTTAATTGAATTAAATGTAAATCGGTATTTTTTGTCGTCATGTTTCCGAAAATGATTCGAACTTTACTTATTTATTTATTTTTTATTTAAATTATTTCCGCCCTGCATATATTAAGACTTTTTTTTGTATACTAGGTTCTCATCGAGGATAAAGAATGTAGCCCATTATATTCAATTCAAACCACTTATTAAAATTTCTGAGGATCAAATCTGAATTCCAAGTCATATTTTGAAGAGCGACAGATTAGCATCTCGAATTCAGTGGTTATAAGGGGGGGGGAAATCATTTTAGTGTCCACAGGATGAAAAGAGCGAAAACAACTT